GATTGACCTAATTGGACCCATGCCCATTGGAAAAGGAGGGGTAAAATTCGCCATCGTCGCAATGGATTACTTCACTAAATGGGTTGAGGCAGAGCCACTTCCCACCATCACCGAACAAAAAACAACCAACTTTTTTATGGAAATCAGTGATCTGTAGGTTCAGCATACCTCACTCCATTGTTATGGACAATGGAAAACAGTTTGACAATGCACGACTTTCAAATTTCTGCGAAGAGTTCGACATCAAGAAATATTTCTCATCACCGAACCATCCATAGACAAACAGCCAAGTCGAAGCCATTAACAAGATTATTAAGCACACATTGAAAGCAAAACTTGATTTGTTTAAAGGAGGATGGGCCGAGGAACTCTCTAGTGTGCTATGATCTTATCGCACTACTGCAAGGGCAAGCATGGGAGAAACCCCGTTCTCACTGGCTTTCGGTGTAGAGGCCGTGATCCCACTAGAAGTCAGGATTTCCTCGCCGCGCATGACTAATTACGATGAAGAAAGGAACCACATAGCTCTTCACACGGAACTCGACCTAACCGAGGAGAAAAGAAACAACGTCGAACTCAAGAATGCCGTTTACAAACAGCGGAATGCCAAGTACTACAATCAAAAAGTGTGAAAAAGAGAATTTGAGGTAGGATCCCTCGTCTTACAAAAGGTATTCCTCCCCATAAGAGAGATCGGCAATGGATGCCTGGGTCCGAATTGGGAAGGTCCCTATCTGATAACGAAGGTCCTGCTAAAAGGGGCATATGAACTGGAAGACTTGGGGGTTGACCCTTATCCCATCCTTGGAATGCCGAACACCTTAAGTAATCAGTGAACAAGAAAAGCATATATAAAGCCCCCTTGTAATGTCAATCGCATCAATAAAAGAGACTTCCTATTTTTGAACATTTTATTCAACAATTTGTCAGAATCTTACAAAGCCCTACTCTATACGCAGACCGATCTAAGGTCGTATGTGCTGCGACACTTAGTGAAAAATTCATCCTAAGGAATCTTATAAAGCCCTGCTCCACACGCAGGTCGATCTAAGGTCGTATGTGCTGCGACATTTAGTGGAAAATTCCTTCTAAGGAATCTTATAAAGCCCTGCTCCATACGCAAGCCGATCTAAGGTCGTATGTGCTGCGACACTTAGTGAAAAATTCCTCCTACAGAATCTTATAAAGCCTTTAGTGGAAAATTCCTCCATACGTAGGTCGAGATAAGGCCATACGTACTGTAACCCTTAGTGGAAATTTTCAATGCCCTGCTCTAGATGCAGGACAAGCTAAGGCCGTATGTGGTATTACACTTAGTAAAAATGCCCAATGCATAAGCCTGGTTTGGAAAGCAGGTACTGCACAACTAGGGAAAATTCATTTAAGGCAATTCTATATGCTACTGTGATGCTCTTACAAATTTAGCTAAGTTTGTGAGGTATTGTCACACAAAAAAAAAAAAAAAAAAAAACAGATCTCTACTAAAGAAACTGTAGTGAGTATAAATAGTTATCCATTCCAAACAAAATGTCATAAAATGTCAAAACAAAGTTCACTCATAAGCCAAAAACATATTGCAAAACTAAATACCAAAAACAATGTTTTTTTAACTGCCTAGGGGTCTTGGGGGGCTGGGGGCTATCCTCAACATCCTAGGCTGCCGGTAATACCCGGACCCCAGCAGTCTTTGACAACCTCCGTAGCTTCTCTTTTAACCCTTTGCACCTCATCCAGAAAGGCCACGTTAATATCAGGCCTCTCCTTCCTGATGTGCCTCACCAGCTCCTCCAGTGCTACCATATAGACATCCTGGGCTACGACGTCAAACTCGGAGGACTCCTTCCAAGTCTCCACCACTCTGTTAACCTTGGCCTCAGCCTCTTCAGCCCTTTTGGTGGCCTCCCTTGCCCTTTCGTTGGCCTCTTGTACCTTCTGGATGGCCTCCCTAACTTTGACGCGCTCCTCCTCAGCTCGAGCTCTGGCCTCTTTCTCCGAGGCCCTCAATACCCTAATCTCCCCCATCAATCTTTCCTCGACATCAATTCTAGAGTTCAGCTCGATCCCCATCTGATTCAGCTTCTCTTCATACTCCTTCTCCCTCAGAGCAAACTGGGCCTTTTCAGCTTCCATGCTGTTATAAAGACTGAAGGCCTGATCCTTTGCCTCTATAGTTTGTCTAGCTCAGACTTCACCTGTTTTTCAAAAATAAAAAGTCAAGTAAGTCATTAAAACAGTTGCTAAAAAAAGATAAAAAACATAAGGTAAGAAGTATACCTTATCCACCACTGCCATCATGTATAAAATTGATTGGTGACCATGGAGCTGAGCAGTGACCAATGCCTCACCAATGGGCATCTCATTCAGATAATCCTGCTCTCTCTCACCCCAGTTTCGTGTAAGCAGATTGGTCGACTCCCTCAATGGTGATGTGAGCGCGACAGTCATCCCCCTGGAAGGAGAAAGAGCTCGGAGATAATCTAAAAATATCTCTGGTCGGTGTCCCACCAAACTTTCCCAGCTCAACCTCTGTAAATCTAGGCACCTATCCTGCAAGTTCACAGAACTGGTCCCGATAGCAGATGGTGCAACTGGGGAAGGCAAAGAAGGAGACGGTAGGGTAGGGCTCGGTAAAGGGACTGCCTCAGGAATCTTCAATGCTACCGAGGGCACAGATCGGTTCCTCTTCAGTGGAACCTCCTCCTCCACCTCTTCAGAACAGCTCTTCAACCGTTCTGGTACTACTCTCTTTTTTCCTTTGGCCACAGCCGCTGCCTTTGCTGCCCTGTAGCCCCGCATCTCGACTTGATGAGCTGAGAAAATAGTGAAACGCTCAATAAATATGTATATACATAAAGAAACCACAACCACGAATGAGGGTAAAATATTACCTGAACTGGAAGGAGCCGAACTTGAAGCTCGTACTTGCAACAAACCGGCCCGGTATAAGTTCGAATCTGAGATCACAAACTTACAGGACCTTTGCTTTTTAGGTGATGATCTTATTACCTTAGTTCGTCCCTGTGTATCTTTAGTTAACGTCTCCTTCTTGTAATCTGCACAAAGGAAAAATATCGAGGTCAGTACTTCGTCAACATACGCCTTGCTAAAGGACTAAAGCCAAAAAAACACTTACATAAAGAATGATAGAGCCTGGGAACCACGTCCTCCCTATTCACCTTAGCAGAATGAAACTGCCACTCCCCCGATACATAGAACCACTCTTCCTTCCATTTCTTAATTGAGGAAGGGGTGTCAAATACCAGAGAACCTCCCGTCCTGGGCCTAATGCTTGTGTACCACCAACCTGAGTTCTTCCCATCCTCCTTAAAGGTAAATAGAGAATCGAACTGCTGGACACTTAGCTCGAGATTCCCCATTTGGTTTCACAGAATAAGGGCGGCTCTTAAGGTTCGCCACCCATTAGGGAATAGCTGCGTGGGGGCTATGCCCTAGGAAGAAAAAAATTTACGAATCACCCTAGGAAAGAGAAGCCTAAGGTCAGCCTGAAGGATAGCCGAGTTCAGAGCAACACATCCCTCAATCAAATACACTTGCCGCAGGTGACATCATCACCGCCCAAAATCACCAATCCTAAAGTACTAATCCTTAAGCCCCTTGCAGGCCATCATTACTTGGGAAAAATATTGACACATGGCCACGGCCTCGTCGACCAATTATAGGAGAATTCGGCTACCCAAGTTACGAGGTCGATACTGTTACTGATTTGATTTGATTTCGGCTGAAACTATGTATAAATAGTTGAATAGGACTCTTGTAAAGGGCAAGTGAATTCATATAACGACTTATGGCACAATCACACTTTAAAGACATTTTTTGTGGTCTTTTTCAAGAATAAATCGCCTTTTTTCTTAAAGTTGGTTCAAAATTATCCTTGCTAATTTTGACATCAGCAGTAATGATTATTCCTCAGTAGTTGTGCCAATGATTTGATGTTTTACACATATTTTTGAGGAAAGGTGGCTGGACCGTTCAACTTCCATGGCGTCTGCTGCAGTTGAATTAAAGTCATAATTATAAGCACAGCTGGAGCTTCTAGAAGCAGACACATTTGGGGAGATGTGTGGAGGACATAGTTGAATCTAAAGCATAGGTTTGAAAACCATTTGAATTCTACGCTTCGAATTTGGTTTAGAATAAAGGGTTCAGATTCACTAGGCTTTGATCAGAGGGTTGGGATTTGTTCTGGCCCTTTATAAAAGGTAAGAGACCCCCATTTTTTTGGATTTTCATTCTTTGCAATCTGATTTACTAAAAACTCCAGTTTTCTGGCATCCAAACAGTCGATCTTCTCATTTTTCGATGTTACTCCGTTCACGTAGTCATTTTCCATAGGTATTTTCGCAGAAAATCCTTTGCATTGAGTTCATTTTGATATGTAGTCCACCTTGAGTAGGGAATTGTAACTATCACGTTGTTCGACGAGGGGGCAAGTCGCAGAGGGGACCTCGAGGTTGAGCAGTATGCTATGACCGAGAAGCCAGTAGATTACAGTGAGGAGTGGGGGGGCGTCCAGAGTGCCTTCAAATATGACTTTGAAGAGGGTGGGGAAAATCAGGGAGATGTATTGTGTACCTCATTACGTAGAAATGTTGGTACCCGAGGCTCAAGAGCGCGCCTGCTATCTGAGGCCCGAGTGCGTGGCGGTGAGTGAATACCTGTTTAAGGTAAGTATGTGTCTTCCTCTGTACCCTTTCTTGAGGGTGGTGCTGAGGAACTTTATGTTGTTGCCGACCCAGGTTTTGCCAAATGGGTGGAGCCAGTTGGTTGGCTCGTACTTCCTGTGGAAGGAAGTGTCACTTGGGGAGGACATGCCTCTCTACGTCTTCATGACCCTGTTCCAGCCTAGGATAATAGGTAAGGAGTCGAGGAGATGGTATTACTTAACAACTTGGTGGGCTCACACACCATTTGTGGTAGGGCTACCTTCTTCCTTCAAGGGGTGGAAGGAATCGTAGTTCTAGATGAGGGGCAGGTGGCAGGTAGTGGAGGGGGACACAGCCTTGGCTTGCACAGTACCGACCTAGTACTACGAAGCTCGTGAGTCTCTCAGCCTAAGTAGTTTACGTTCTGTATTCCAAATTTTATTTTTCTAACTGTTGAGGCTTGCTGTACAGATATCAGTACGAGGACATTTACTAGAGACCTCTAAAACTTCGGCACTTCGACCACCTCATCGATCGAAGTCACTACTTCATTGATTTTGAATTGATGACCTCTAAAGGTAAGAGGCTTGTATACTTGTGCATTTCTTACTTTTTGTTTCGATGCTGATGCACTAACTTGGTTTGCAGACAAGTTCAAGAGGAGGGAGTACCCAGCCCCGGACATGACCTCTATCCTTAGGGTCACATCTAACGTGAAGGCGAGGCCCCTAAAGCTGGGGTCAAGTGGTACAAAGGAGGTTCGGGAAAGGTTGAGCGACTCTCTAAGGAAAGTAATTCCAGGGCTGCTGAGGAGGGGCGCCTCAGAGGTCGGAGAAGGCCAAGGAGCCTTGGGGAAAGGAGAAGGTCCTCGAGGAGTAGAAGAAGAGGAAGCTAGTGCACGTCACCAGCTCATCTGTGAAGTTCGGGACCTCTGTATCCTATGAAGGAAAAGAAACCCCTCAACCAAAGCTCCTGGAGGCTACCTCCAAAGCTGCGAAGGTAAAAATGGTGCGGCATGCCAAGGCTGCTACGAGGAAGGCTACTGAGAAGGCAGATGATGAAGCTGCCAAGCAGAGGCCCGCAAGAGTCCAAGGAAAATCGCCGAACTTCCTTGCTGGGAGGGAGGAGGTCCTGGCCCTGGCATTGGTGGAGGCTCTGTCAGCCGAGATCCAAAGCGCTAAGGAGAGCTTCTATAAATTCTGGATGGACCGGTGGTAGTTGTACGCCTCTTCCTGCGACACGGTGGACCTAACTAGGGCTCTTGTGAGCCAAAGTGTGAGGACATTTGGCCTCGCATTAGAGTGCAGGGAGGCCCTTACTGATTTTCAGACGAGGACCCAATTCTCGGAGAAGAAGGTGTCCTCCCTCACAGAGGAGCTGAAGAAGGCCACGACCGAGGCAGAGGAAGCGAGGGCCCAAAAAATAGAAGAGGCACCAAGCTAAAGTCTGCTTTGGCCTAGATCAAGGCCTTGAAGAAGGAGGTTTATGAGTCCCAGTGCGAGGTGGCTTCCCTTATCAAGAAAGTGGAGGTCTCCAATGACCACGAAAAGGTAACTGTTGAGGCCTTGGAGAAGGCCAATCTACAGTTGGCCGAGGCCCAAGTGCATACAAATTCTTGGAGGGCCAAATAAAATGGTATGTGGATGAAATGGCCAAGGAAAAGATGGAGGCCAATGTGACGAGGGAAGAGGCAGTCAAAGATTACATTGCCAACTTCCACAACACCGAGGAATACAAGAGTTTCAGCATCTACTGGAGGAATTATGCCTATGCTGAAATGATGGAGAAGGCTGAGAAACTCTTCCTGAATCAAGACCTGTCACAGCTGAGGTCGGAGTTTATGGATGAAGTGCCTTAGACCCCAGCAAATGAAGCGGTTGGGGATGAGGCAGCGGAGACAGAAGAGAGTTCTGATGCTCAAGTTGTGGAGGCTTCTGCGGTTGAGGCACCTCCGCCATCATCGGAGGCTTAGGATAGTTTACTTTTCAGTTAATTTTGATGTACTGGCGTCAGGCCTTCCTTTTGTAACATTGAAAATCAATATAATCTTTTTCATTCAATGTTGTTCTTCCAAGTGCATTGGTCTCGTTAAGTAATCACACTTAAGATTGATTGACGAATTTAATAACCTTGACTTGATATCACAACTCCAATCACTTAAGTAGATTGTACTTAAGCCACACAAACCATGATTGATATTGGACTTAAGCAAGTAAATTATACTTCAGCTTAATAAATGTGACCTGAATAGACCTTAATACTGGACTGTCTTCTAGCTGAACAGAGGATATTGCTATGTTTGATCGAGTTGCCTGAAGCCCGTAGTGGTTGGACCTTGTGAACCTGGGAAAAGAAGTTCGATCCTCGTTGAGGCTTCTCCCCTTGACTCAGCCTTGCCATGTGGCGTGCACCTCGGAGTTCAAGTAAGGGGACACAGAGATGGGACACTGACCTCTCCTCCTAGGTGATGACACTTCCCAACATGGTGAATGGTTTATCCATGTTGAGACTTCTCCTAGTAGCGTTCAGCCTCGCCAAAGGGGGGCAAATGGCGTGTGCCTCGGAGTTCAAGCGAGGTGGCCCAGAAATGGGGCGCTGACCTCTCCTCCGAGGTGATGATGCTTCCCAACATGGTGAATGATTCATCCATGTTAAGGCTTCTCCCAGTGGTGTTCAGTTTCGCCAAAGGGAGGCAAGTGGCATGAGCCTCGGAGTTCAAGCGAGGTGGCCTAGAGATGGGGCGCTGATCTCTCCTCCGAGGTGACGATGCTTCCCAACATGGTGGATGGTTCATCCATGTTGAGGCTTTTCCCAATGGCGTTCAGGGTCACCAAAGGGAGGCAAGTGTCGTGATCCTCGGAGTTCAAGCAAGATGGCCCATAGATGGGGTGCTGACCTCTCTTCCGAGGTGATGACGCTTCCTAACATGGTGGATTTTCCCAGTGATGTTCAGCCTCACCAAAGAGAGGTAAGTGGTGTGCACCTCGGAGTTCAAGCAAGGTGGCCCAGAGATGAGGTGCTGACCTCTCCTCCGAGGTGATGACGTAGTGCGAGATGAGTTCAATCATGGACAATTTTATTGAATCATGGAAATGTTAAATGAGCTGGGAAAGATCGTCCAGCAAGGTAGTACATTCATTGATTATAGATTCGGAGGTGATCAATGTTCCATGGACGGGGTTGTGCCTTGCTATCCATGTCCTCAATCCAGTATGTCCCAGGTTGGAAGAGATGAAGACTCTCCTAAGGACCAAGTCGTTGATTCGAAATGACCTCTTCTTCACCTTTGAGTTGAAGTACTTCATCATCTTTCTTTGATATGTGGCGAGCCTCAGCTGGGCGTCATCTCTTCCTTCCTCAATGAAGTCGAGGTCGAACCTCCGGAGCTCCTCATTTGTTATTTCACTGAAGTGCAGACGTCGTGGAGATGGAAGTTCGACCTCGACGGGGCTCATTGCTTCAGTTCCGTATGCCATGAGGAAAGGTGTTTTCCCTATGGGGGTCCTCGTTGTGGTTCGGATTGCCCAAAGTACTTGCGGTAGCTCATCTACCCAGGCCCCTTTTGACACATCAAATTTCCTTTTCAGGACATGTTTGATGGTCTTGTTCACAGCCTCAACTTAGCCATTTGTTTGTGGGTGGTGAGGTGTGGAGAAGTGCTTCTTGATGCCAAGTTCTTCATACAAACTTCTGACCTTTTTGTTGTCTAACTATTTACCATTGTCTGAGACGATTGAGTAGGGAATCCCAAACTGGCATATAATGTTTTTCCACAAGAACTTGGAGGTGTTTGCCTCTGTGATTTTTGCCAATCAGCCTCAACCCACTTCGTGAAGTAATCAATGGCCACAATTGCAAAGCTCGCGCCTCCTCTGACTTTCGGTAGAGGACCTATGATGTCCATATCCCACTTCGAGAAAGGCCAGGGACTGGAGACCTCAGTCAAATCTTGCGATGGTTGTCTTTGGATAGGAGAGAATCGTTGGCATTTGTCACATTTTCCTACAAACTGGAGGGCGTATTTTTTCAAGGTAGGCCAATAGTACCCTTGTCTCAGTATTTTTTGTGCCAAAGATAGACCTCCAGAGTGGTTACCACACACTCCCTCGTAGACTTCCCTTAAGATGTAGGTAGCCTCTTCTCCTCCCATGCATCGAAGGAGTGGAGAGGAGAAGCTCCTCTTGTAGAGTACATCATCGATGAAGAGGAAATGAGCTAATCTCCTCCTTAGCTTGTAGGCTTCATGCTTATTAGCGGGATGTACCTGGTCCTTTAGGTAGGCTAAGATGGGCTGCATCCAGGTAGGCCTACCTTGAGTCTCGGCAACCCACATCACATTGGGGGCCTCGGTTGATGGTATGAGGAGGTGCTCTATTGTACTATTGTGAGTAGTTTGAAGTCCTTGCCACTTGCAAGTTTGGAGAGTGCGTCTGCATGTGCATTTTCAACATGGAGAATCTGGATCAACTCAAACTTTTCAAATGATGGGACGAGGTTCATCACCATTTTCAAGTAGGAGGCCATGGTTTTGTCTCTGGCTAAGAAGTTGTCGTTTACCTGGCTAACGACTAGCTGGGAGTCGCTACTGATAAGTAGCCTCTTTACTTGCATTTCTCTAGCTAATCCGAGGCTCAGAAGAAGTGCCTCATACTCTGCCACATTATTGGTGGCCTTGAACCTGAACATTATAGCCGAGTTCAGCTTGTGACCTTTTAGGCTGATGAGGACAACTTCGGCACCTGAACCGATTTTCCCAGACGACCCATCCATGAATAAGTTCCACGTAGGGGGCTCGACATTTTCCATGATTTCATCCACCTCGGGTAAATTGGCAAATTCTGCCACAAAATCAACCAAGGCTTGGCCCTTGATGGCCTCCCTAGCCTTGAATACGAGGTCAAATTTACTTAGCTCCACCGCCTATTCCAATAATCTTCCTGAGGCATCAGGCTTTTGAAGTACCTGCCTCAGGGGAAAGTTTGTTAGCACATGTATGGTGTGGGCTTGGAAATAGGGCCTCAATTTTCTAGAAGCCGTGATCAAGGTCCGGCGATAGTAGTGCTTCACTTGTATAGTATACGGGGAGTTGGGTCATCCCTTCTTCTCGGATTAGAACCGTAATGATGGCCTCATTGGAGATAGCTAAATACAGTTGAAGAATCTCGCTAGGCTTTGGTTTAGAGAGGAGTGGGGCCTGCCCTAGGTGCCTTTTCAGGAGTTGGAAGGCCTCTTCACATTTCTCGATCCATTGGAACTCCTTCCCAACTTTCAATAGTTTGAAAAATGGGAGGCATTTGTCTGTAGCTTTGGAGATGAAGCAACTAAGTGTGGCTACTCGCCCAATCAAGCTTTGTACCTCTTTTGGCTTTTGGGGGGACCTCATCTTGCATAGGGCCTCAATCTTCTCAGGGTTGGCTTCAATTCCGCGTTCGTTGACCATGTATCCTAAGAACTTTTCGGAGGCAACCCCGAAAGCGCACTTGAGGGGGTTGAGCCTCATCCTATACCTTCTCAAGATTTGGAAGGTGTTGTTGAGGTGCGTCACGTGGTCCCTAGCTTCCATACTTTTCACAAGCATGTCATCTATGTAGACCTCCATTGTTTTGCCGATGAGGTCCACAAACATTTTGTTGATGAGCCTTTGGCATATGGCCCCAGCGTTTTTCAACCCGAAGGGCATCATCTTATAGCAGTAAAGGCCTCTGTCTTTGATAAAAGAGGTGTGTTCCTCATCGACCGGGTGCATGTGAATTTGGTTGTAGCCGGAGAATGCATCTATAAAGCTCAACAACTCATGCCCAACCGTGGAATCTACCAGTTGGTCAATCCTTGGGAGTGGAAAGCTATCCTTCGGGCAAGCTTTGTTGAGGTTAGTGAAATCAATGCATACACTCCACTTTTCGTTGTATTTCTTCAGTAAAATTGGGTTGGAGACCACCTCGGATAGATGGCTGATAAGTGTATTTTTGCACACTTATTTAGGTCACAAACATGACTTAATTACGAGCAAAATAATTAAATTGTGACTTAATCTCATTACATTAGTAAATTGTAGGGAACATCGATGAACATGGTGAAATTCAGGAGAAAAGACACGAAAAAGGACTAAAATGACGCAAAGTGAAAGTTCAGGGACCAAGGTGCAATTATCCAAAAATTGACCCGATGAACAAATCAAGACATTGATTAAGCCAAATGCCAATTGATGATATCTTGGGATGACGGAATGGAAAGAATGAAAAAAAAAATGTCAAGAAGTGAAAGATTCAAGTAGAGGGACCAAATTGGAGAAAATGAAAGTTAGAGTCTACCATGCGGCCGCATGGTAGAACTCTCGTGCGGTTGCACAAATGAGGGCAGGAAATTCTGGACGTAGCATGGTGTAACCATGTGATCGCACGGATTAAAGCCATGCGGTCACATGGTAGGTTTCCGACGTGAAAATTTTACTTTCCTTATACGATTGAAACTCTTTTGGTAACAAAATTTTCACGTGATATAAATACCAAAAGATGTCCAGAACGAGGGGGATGCCAATTTTACAAGAAAAAGAGAGATTTTGAAGGAGAAAACGAAGAGAGAACAAGAGGAAAACATCGCGCCAATTGAAGATTTGATTGAAACTTGATTCGGGTGATGACGTTTCTTCAACTATTTTTGTATTTTCTTCTTTTTAGCATGTTAGGCTAGATTTTTTATTGCTAGGAGATCGATGAACTTTGCAATACTACTTTTGATTTTTGATTTAGAGATCTGACATATTTAAGCACATGTTTCAGAATTGAATGATTTATACGTTTTTATTTCCATATTATTATTGTGCACGTAGTTATAAGATTTTGGTGGCTTGTTTTATGCATTCGAAAGAAGGAAAATGGGCTCGACATAGTATAAATCATCATAGCGTCCGATAGGGGATAGAAATATGCCTCTATGCCTTGTGTGAATTGTTGAATATTCATGAAATCATAATGCATTCTTATATGTTAGTATTCGTCATAGAGATATAGTCGAATCACATATTGGGGTAGGTTTGGCTTTGCTCGAGAGAGATTGCTAAATTAAAATAGGAATATTGATTCATCAATTGTGGGAATGTGTGTTAAATTTACATAATTAAAAGTTGAACGGTTGTTGCTTGGGAATTCATGATCCTAGTGCATTAGTAAATTCATTAATTCCATAAATTCTCGTAGATTGTGTCCAGGTCATTTTGCATTTAGTATAAGTTTCTCACTCATAATTGCATCATAGTTCACATCTTTTTTAGTTAAATCACAATACATAAATCTTACTTTCCTGTTTCGGTTAAGGTCATAATAGATTGATTTGAACTAATTCAATCATTATGGGATCGATACTTGGACTCATAATCTATTTTACTACTTGTTAACGAATCGTACACTTACGGTGGGTTGTAAATCGAAACAAATAATTTCGTGAACAGTGGCCTCCCTGATGAAGCCATTTTGGTTGAGCTTCTGAACTTCTTCCTTCAGGGCCTCATATCTCTCAGGGTTAAAGGCTCTTCTCTTTTGTCTGTACGGGGCAATTTTAAGATCAATTTTCAGGTGGTGGCAACTGAGCTTGGGGTCTATGTCTACCATGTCCTCATGCCTCCAAGCAAAGACATCAAGGCTCCTATTTAGGAAATCCTTGATCTTTTATTTCAAACTGTTGGACAAGCCTTTTCCCACTTTCAACAATTTAGATGGGTCTCGGTGGTCTACCGAGAAGCTTTCAAGTTCCTCAACTGGGGATGCTTAAGGTTCGTGCTCGATTATGCGAGGGTCAATCTCATCGATAACCAATATTTTCGGCATGGGTGGTGTGTCGATCATTTCCACATCTTCCAATTTGGAGGGAGCATCACCTGGGACATCAGCCATGACTATGTCGGCGATAATCACATGGACGTCCCAGGGCTCTACCTTTCCGATAGAGCTTAGATAGCACTCTCTTGAGCCTCTTTGGTCTCCTCTCATCGTTGCCACCCCATTTTTCGTCGAGAATTTCATGTATAGGTGGGGGATGGAGGTGACGGCTCCTAGTTCCTTTAGAGATGGCCCACCCATTACTCTGTGGTAGGCCGATCAACTATCAACAATGAGGAACTAATATAATCCAGGAGTCGAGCCCGACAAAGGCGAGTGCGAGACGAGACCCATTGATAGTCGATGGTGGACCAATGATGCGATCAAGGGCAAAGCAAGAGAAACAAGCAATGGGATTGCTCGTTCAAGAAACCATGTTCGGGACTCAAAATGGAGCAACTTTAATGTTCGGGTCCAAGGCCAAATCAACTTGAATCAATTTGTTATCAAGCGACGAAATCGGAGGCTGAAAATAAGCCTGTGCGGCCGCACAGACAAAACACCATGCGACTGCATGGAGGCTTAACGAAACTCAAGGAGCCAACCAGACTGAACCATGCGGCCGCATAGGCCATTTTTTTGGCGAATTTCCTATTTTTGGTATTTTTTCATATTTTGTTAGATTTTGATTCTTCTCCATATTTTGGGGATTATGATCGACTTTTGCATGATTTTTACCTAATTTTTAGGTTTAGTATAAATAGGAGTTTCCATTCAATTGTTAAAAACCTTCGACATTATTAATATGAATTAAAGTGAGGCGTTTTGTCTTCTCTACATTGTTTTTCATTGAACAATTTCGAACTTATCAAGTGTTAACTTGTGGCATTCAAACAACCAGATTTAATTCTTGGATTGCGTGATCAAGGGGTCTTTCAAACGTCGTTCTTGTTGTGTTTTTTAGCTCGACTTTCTTTTGGGTTAATCCTAAACTCTTGGATTAATTTGGCTTTCTTGGGTTCGTCAATCTCGTTGTGGGTTTCGTAGTCAACAATGCTACGGGATTCGCATTAGTTGGTATTAGAGCTTTGGCTTCAAATTAATTGAAGGTTATATCTTTTTTTTATTTGCTTGAGTCGTTAATTTTTCTTTCTTAGTTCTTCTTTGTTCTTGTTTTCTTTTCGTCGTTTCGTTGAGTTGTTGGTAGTTTACTCATCTTCTTTCACCAGGGAGTAAAAAAAAATTGATATTATTATTGTTTGATTTTGTTTTTCTACCAACAACAATTCCTATATTGTGTTTGATTTTGAGATATTCAAATTGGGTTCGATTTTTTTCAATCTTCTATTGAGTCTATTCATATATTCTCGTCAAAACATTCATCTATTCCATTTATTCAACCCCTTTGAGTCTCATGGTCTTCGATTAATATTCGATTTGTTTGAATTCCCGGTAAAACAATTGATTTAGTTCACTTAGTTCTTTGAAGTGATTGGAGGGAGACTTTGAGTGGTAAAAGGTCGAGTGGTGAGTTTAATAGAGGGAAAAAGCCATAATGAGTGTTTTTTGCGTGAAATCTTTGTGAGGCATAAAAAAAATTGTGTGATATGATGTCGGAAAGAGAAGGTTCCAACTCAAGCCGAAACGGTAATGAAAACAATGCTTCGGAGGACATGATACGGAGGCTTGAACGGGTACTTGGTGATGTTAGGGAGAAGGTGGATAGGCAAGGGGAGTGAATGGTGCAAATAGGTACTACAATTGCTAATCTTAATCGGGGACAAGCGGAGATGTCTAATACTATGGGGCCGGGTAGGCGTGAATCTAGGAGAGGAAGGCGAGATGAGTATCATAGTGATGAGGATGATTTTGATGAAAATGACTTTGATATGGGTCGAGCGAGGCATAGGGGCGATAGGATGGAAAGACGGGGTAGAAATAACTTGG